GACGGGGGCCTCCTTTGCCGCTATATCCACGGGCCTCCCCGAGGGAGAGTCCGTGCTTCTTCCTCGGGACTTGCCTTGAGGTCTGGAAGTTACCAGCCGAGGTCTCCGTGTCCCAGCGCTATTCTGCACGGGTCACTGCACAGTACAGGTCTGCGGACCGGGATTTCCTGGCGGGGACGGACCCGCTGACGGTGCCCAGCCTCAGCCGTTGCCCCTCAACTTCCACTTCACTATCTGGGTTTTTTTTTTTCTTTTTTTGGCTTTCTTTTGGAAGGGAAGGGGGGGTCACACCCGGCGATGCTCAGGGGTTACTCCTGGCTCTGCTCTCAGGAATTCCTCCTGGCAGGGCTTGGGGGACCATATGGGATGCCGGAGATCGAACCAGGTTGGCCGTGTGCCAGGCAAACGCCCTACCTGCTGTACTGTTGCTCTGGCCCTTTCTGGGGTTTCCATGACCCGACGTCTCCTACTTTATTGCAGGTGTGCATGGGTGCTGTTGGGCCTGCCTGGGTCTGGGAACAGCCCCCTTCTCAGATAAGGCGTAGGGAGAGACACTCATTTCAGATTCTGGTCGTGTGCGCCTTTTAAGTGCTCCTGGCATCCCTTATAGCTTGGCAAGTATTTACAAAAGATGCCAGAAAATCGGATTGCTGTCTAGCTGGTCTAAATCTTTCTGGGTGTTTTTGCCCTTTATCTCGGTCTCCCTGTCAGCCTAGGATCCAGGGCAGAGTTTTTTGGTTGTGAAAATCTCTGTGGGGCAGGACTTTGGAATGAAATGTGTCAGGTCAGCGGGGGAAAGATGGCAAGGGGAAACTGAGGCTTCCACCTTCACTGGCAAGGGGAATCAAATCTTCCAGGCCTGATTGCCCATTGTCTCAGTTTCCCCATCAGCCCAGCCTCCAGGATTACCCATGATCATTACCCTGTCAGCCTAGATTCCAAGGCAGTGTTTTCCATTCCTGGGAAGCTCAGGAATGCCGAGACAGAACCTTGAGGGTGGAATGTGTGTCAGGTGACGGAACATCTGGAGAGAAGAAACTGGCTTTCTGTCTCACTGGTAAGGGGAAACTGAGGCTTTCTCTTTCATCCTGAATCTGCTTTTCCTACTTAGGAGATGTCAAACATTTGCGAACCAGGCTCCTTAGGTGAGATGGTAATGTAGGAGTATCGCCCATCCCAGAGGACTTGGAAATGACCTCAGGCTGGCCCCTGGGGACCCCGGGGTCACTCCAGAGGGGGCCAGAAAGTAACAGAAGCAACTTATAACTTGTGGGGGGGGGGGCTTTTGTTTGTTTTGGAAGCCTCACCTGGCAATCCTCAGGTTACTCCTGGCTCTGCATTCAGGAATTACTCTTGACAGTGCTCACGGGGTCACATTGGATGCCGGGAATCGAACCCTGGGCAGCCCTACCCGCTGTATTACTTCTCCAGTCCCTCAAATAGCTTGTTTCTTTTTGTTTATTTTCTGGGCCACAGCCAGCAGTGCTCAGGGTCCCTCCTGGCTCTGCACTCAGGGATCACTCCTGGCAGGGCTCAGGAAATCCTGAAGAGTCCCAGAGATCTTAAAAGGGTCGGCGGAGGCACAGCAGACAGACGCCCTACCTCTGTGCCCTATCTGGCCCACAAATGCCTTTTCAAGTACCCGCGGTCTGGGTTTGTTTGCGATCGTACTTTTGCTTTAAGAAAAACCAAGCACTGTAGTAGTAGCAGCACTGTGTTCCCATTGTTCATCGATTTGCTCAAGCGGGCGGCAGTAACGTCTCCATTGCGAGAGTTGTTGTTACTGTGTTTGGCATATCGAATACACCACGGGGAGCTTGCCAGGCGCTGCCGTGCGGGTGGGATACTCTCAGTAGCTTGCCGGGCTCTCTGAGAGGGACGGAGGAATCGAACCCGGGTCAGCCGCGTGCAAGGCAAATGCCCTACCCAAACCAAAAAAAAAAAAAAATTCTCCAAAAGGCAAATGAGAATCTAGACGCCTCCCTCACGTGTCCCAGCCCCAGCACCAAAACGTCTGTGGCTGGACTCAGCCGCGAGCCACGCACTGAGCTACGCAATGTCCCTCATGCGTGGGACATTTTTTTCTCTGCAGCTTCACAGATGAAGAGAGAGCGGAAAGCGCACAGCAGAGTGTAGTTCTGTTGTTGCCGTGGGGGCAAGGGGCAGGTACCACACTTGGGACACCAGGGCTCCTCCCGGGATGCTCCAGGGGGGCAGGGCAGAGGCGTTCAGGGCTAGGGACCAAGCCCAGCTTTACTTGCCCTTGTCTTGGGGATTTCTGCCAGTCCCCCAGCCTTTTTTTTTTTTTTTTTTTGCTTTTGCTTTTGGACCACACCCAGTCGCATCTGGCGCTCATCCATCCGCCCCCTCCCTGCAGTGATAGGGGAACGAGCGGGGATCTGGGTGGGACATGGACCTCCTACCTTTGAGCCATCTCCTCACACCCCCCAACTCCCTTTTCTCTGAAGAAGGTGAAGGGTTTTTCTCAACTCTTTCCCCCTCCTCCTGCTTTAAGGAACTTTCCATCTCCACTGAACAAAAAAGGTGTTGCACGTTTCCAGAGGCTGATCTGCCTCTAACAGGACATCGGGTTTGCAGATCCCCCCCCCCCCCCCCCCGCCTCTGCCTGGCGGAGGAGAGATGCCTCTAGCTCTGTCTTCCCTTGGGGGGCTGAGTGTTTAGAACGGCAGGGTCCATGCCCCCCATTGTAGCATTTTGGAAAATGTGTATGCGTAAGATTAAACAGCTGAAGGATCCAAAAATCGTGCAATAGTCAGAAGTGGCATAATTCGAAATAATAATCCTGGCAGAGGCTGGAGAGATACTACAGGAGGGAAGTGCTTGCCTGGCCCGTGACCCAACAATCCCAGGTCCCCAGAACACTGCAGGCTGTGGCCCCAACACCCTTCCCTCTCCCACCCCCCCCCCCAAGAAAGGTTCAAATTATACAAAGTATGGAGGTTCAAAGTATGGAGCCGGAACAATAGGACAACGGGTAGGGCGTTTGCCTTGTACATAGCCGACCCGGGTTCTATCCCTGGCATCCCATATGGTCCCCCGAACATCGCCCAGAGTAATTCCTGAGTGCAGAACCAGGAGTAAGCCCTGAGCATCACTGGGTGTGGGTGACCCATAAAACAAACAAAAATTATAAAAATGAATAAAAATAAAAGTACGGCAAGGAGGTTGAAAGAATGATGGTCAGTGTAGTGCACAGATGCAGTGTTAACGTCCAGTGATGCTTAACAGTTTCCGTGGATTCCAGAGATCCTCGGAGTCACTGCACTCTGAATGGGGATGTTTCTGAAACAAGGCACACACAGGTGTCCATGAAGAATCAGCAACCTTACTCTGCATTTTAGGGGCCGCGGATAAATCACTTCCCTTTAGGGGCGACCTTCTTTTCCATAGCTGCCCAACAAACAGTCAGAGCTGCCTCAGGACCCTGTGCTTCCCCCTGACCTCTGACCCCTGACCCGCCTCCCTGCTAGAGTTGGTGCCGAGTTTCTCAGAGCACAGAGACTTGGGTTTTGTTTTTCTGTCCCGTTTGTTTCCTTGCTCTTTGTTCCCCGTTTCTGGTGCCCTCGTGTTCCCGTACACGTGGAGCAAAGCTGACGGGCTCTCCTCGGGGCTCTGGACAGCAGGCCCAGAATTTTCCTCTCGGGCTGGGCCCTGTCCGTCCACGCAGCAGGACGCATCTGCCTAGGCTTCCCGGAGAAAAACCAGGGCGGGTCTAAGATAGCAGAGTCCTTTCACGTAATCTTGGTCTTTCTCCACTTGTACAGTGGCGTTTCTCTCAGTTCCAATTTTTTTTTTTCTTTTTGGGTCACACCCAGCGATGCACAGGGGTTACTCCTAGCACTGCACTGAGGAATTACTCCTGGCGGTGCTCAGGGGACCATATGGGATGCTGGGAATTGAACTCAGGTCAGCTGCGTGCAAGGCAAACGCCCTACCCACTGTGCTATTGCTCCAGCCCCCTCTCAGTTCCAAATTTAAAAAGCAAATCTCTAAAAGAAACATGAATTCTGGTTAACTCTCGAGCTTTATGAAACTTACTTTATGTACTTTATGAAACTTACTCTCAGGAAGAAATAAATGGGAAATGTTCAGATTCCATTTACTTTATTTATTTATTTTTGCTTTTTGGGTCACACCTGGCGATCCTCCGGGGTTCCTCCTGGCTCTGCACGCAGGAATTACTCCTGGCAGTGCTCAGGGGACCATATGGGATGCTGGGAATCGAACCCGGATCGGCTGCGTGCAAGGCAAACGCCCTGCCCGCTGTGCTATCGCTCCAGCCCCAAGGATTCCATTTACTTTAAAAGCAACTGCCTCCCAAGGCAGAGGGATTGGACAACTAGAGGGATAGCACAACAGGGTGGGTGTTTGCCTTGAACGTGGATGACTGCACTTCCATCCCTGGCCTTCCCTAGGGTCCCTGAGCACTGTCAGGAGTGATTTCTGAGTGCAGAGCCAGGTGTGGCCCAAAAAGTAAATTAAAAACTGCAACTGGAGCAATAGTACCACAGGTAGGGCTCTTGCCTTGCACGTGGCTGACCCAGGTTCAATCCCCGCTTCCCATCTGGACGCCCCTCCCCCGCGAGTACCGCCAGGAGTAATTCCTGAGTGCAGAGCCAGGAGTAACCCCCTGAGCACGGCCAGGTGTGGCCCAAAAAATATATTAAAAATCGCAGCTGGAGCGATGGTACCGCCAGAGTGCAGAGCCAGAAGTCACCCCTGAGCATCACTGGGTGTGACGCCAAAAGGATGGATGGATTAAAAAAAAAAAAATACACCCTCCTCCCCCCATATGGTTCCCAGAGCCCGGCCGGCAGTGACCCTTAGTGCAAAGCTAAGAACAAGCCCTGAGCACTGCCAAAGGAGGGCCTCCCACCGCGCTCGGCACACACAGCCCCTCCTCCGCGCCGGGTCCCGGGCCAGGCGGCAGGGCCCTCCCGCTCACCCCCCCTCACCGGCCCTGTGCTCCTCTCTTGCAGCGAGTGCGTGCGCCTGAAGCCCACCGACATCCAGCCCGACATCTTCAGCTACCTCCTGCACCTGATGTACACGGGGAAGATGGCCCCGCAGCTCATCGACCCCGTGCGCCTGGAGCAGGGCATCAAGTTCCTGCACGCCTACCCGCTCATCCAGGAGGCCAGCCTGGCCAGCCAGGGCGCCTTCTCGCACCCGGACCAAGTCTTCCCGCTGGCCTCGTCCCTCTACGGCATCCAGATCGCCGACCACCAGCTGCGCCAGGCCTCCAAGCTGGCGCCGGCCCCGGAGAAGCTGGCGCGGGACGCGCGGTCGGCCCGGTTGGGTCCCGACCCGGGCCCCGACGCCTCTGCTGCCGCCGCCGCCGCCGCCGCCTCGCTGTCGCAGCTGCCCGGGGGCCGGACCCACCTGACGCCCTCGGAACCGCTGCTCCCCACGCCGCTGTCCCCCGAACTCGTGTCCACGCCCGTGCCCGCGCCCGCCCCCGCGCCCGCGCCCGCGCCCTTGCCCCTCGTGCCCGTGCCAGGCGTGGGGCCGCCGCCGCCCCCCGCCGCCGCCGCCGCTGTCGTCGTCGTCGATGCCCGGGGACGAGGCGGGCCTGGCGCCGTCGCCGTCGGACGAGCCCCCCGCGCCGCTGACCATCGCGCACGTGAAGCCGAGCATCATGAAGCGCAACGGCAGCTTCCCCAAGTGCTACGCGTGCCACCTGTGCGGCCGGCGCTTCACGCTGCGCAGCAGCCTGCGCGAGCACCTGCAGATCCACACCGGGGTGCCCTTCCCGGGCGCCGCGGGGCCGCCGGGGGACGCGCGTGGCCACGCCGCGCTGGCCGCCGCCGCCGCCGCCGCGGCCGCCGCCGAGGAGCTGGCCAAGGACGCGGCCGACGCGCCCGAGGCGGGCATGGTCAGCGACAGCGAGCTGCCGCCGCACATCTCCGACTCGCCGCTGCTGGACGGGCAGCCGCCGTCCGAGACGCCGCCGCCCTCGGACATCGCGGACATCGACAACCTGGAGCAGGCCGACCAGGAGCGCGAGGTCAAGCGCCGCAAGTACGAGTGCACCATCTGCGGGCGCAAGTTCATCCAGAAGAGCCACTGGCGCGAGCACATGTACATCCACACGGGCAAGCCCTTCAAGTGCAGCACGTGCGACAAGAGCTTCTGCCGCGCCAACCAGGCGGCGCGCCACGTGTGCCTCAACCAGAGCATCGACACCTACACCGTGGTGGACAAGCAGACGCTCGAGCTGTGCACGTTCGAGGAGGGCAGCCAGATGGACAGCCTGCTGGTGCAGGCCAGCAAGCCCTACAAGTGCAACCTGTGCGACAAGACCTTCGCCACGCCCAGCGAGGTGGTCAAGCACGCGTGCCAGAGCCAGGCGGCGGACGTGTTCGCGCTGGACGAGGGCCGCGCCCTGCTGCTGGGCGCCGGCGGGGACTCGGAGGTCCCCGAGCCCGACCACCCGGTGCTGGCGTCCATCAAAAAGGAACAGGAAACCGTGTTGTTGGACTGACCCCCACCCACCCACCCACCCTCCCACCCCGCCCGCCGGCTGCTCTTGGCTTTTATTTTTCTTTTCTTTTCTTTTTTTTTTAAACAAACAAAAAAAAACTGACGTTTTTACAAAAGACTACCTTTGCCTTCCCTTCCTCCCACCCGGGTAGAGAACTCGGTTCTCCGTGGCATGATCCGAACAGTACCCCTCCCCACCTGCGCCCTTCCTCACTCCAACCCCCCCCCCACACACTCACCTCCCCCCCCCCCATCTCAACGCCCGCCCCCTCCCTTACAGAGCTCTGTGCATTATAAACCTGGACCATATTTACTTTCATTCAGGGGATGTCGGAAAGATAATGGTCAGTAGTAGTACTTGTATCGTCGAATCGATTTTTTTTTCTTTTGGTCTGTTTGTTTCCAGGCTTTTTTAGAGAATTTTAAAAAGCATCCTTGGATCTAATGAAGGGTCTTCTAACCAAGCCAAACCACTAGAAAGCTCTTTGGTAAACGCAAATTATGACTTTCCCTGGGTAATACTTTTTTTTGTCTTCCTTCTCGGAAAGAAACAATGCCCTCAGACGCAGCAGCGTGCCTGGTGCTTACAGATACAGCTGGTCTCCAGGCTCTGCAGAAATCCAGACGGTGGGGGGGAGGGAGAGGCGGGGAGCCCTAAAACCCCAGAGAACATTCTCAGTATTTATCTATCATCCGCCCCCTTCCCCCCCACCCTGCCTCAGGCGTCTGATTTCCGAATGCATCCTTTGAGATTATGTCCAGTCGAGAGAATTTTAAGAAATCTACTCGAACAAAACACAAAAGAGGAGAAAAAAAAAACAAGTAATAATGTGATGGCAATCTTAATTTGGGGATATAGCATGACAAGCCGTGAGTGTGTGTGTGTATGCGTGTGTGTGGTGTGTGTGTGTGTGTGTACGTGTGTGCGCGCGCGCCTGTGTCAGAAAACGTATAGACACTCCACAGTTGATCAGTGCACGCGCCTTACCTAATTGCTGGCTCCTTCCAGAGGCGACCGCCACCGAAATACCGTCTTTCTGACGCGTGTGATTATTTTCCCAGTCCGACTTGGGAGCGCCATTCTACATTCTTACCGGGCACAAAGTGACACAGGCCAGTCTCGTACTTGCCGATGGTACTTTTGGTGCAGAAACAGCACCGAACCAGCCACTCTTCCAATCCATGTGGGGACCACAGGGAAGGGGACGGGAATGGAGGTCCTGCGGTGGGGGGCGGGGAAAGGGGGTGTGGTGGACAGGGCAAGTCGTCACTTTAATGACCTCCAGCATCAAGGCTGATGATTGACAAAATCTGTCAGGAAACGTCCAACATGGCAAAAAATAGGGAAAAAAAAAAACCTTGATGGCTATTGGGGGGGAAATACAAAAACAAAGACTTAGATTTTGATGTTGAGTCTTTGGTTTTATTTTTGAACACCTGAAATTTCCTCCAGGGGCCTATAAGCAGTGAAATATTGTGTGTCCACTCATCCTCCCGGGGGCCAGTGCCAGGGGTGGGGAGGGTCTTACACGGTCAAGCAGGGGCCAGGAGTGGAGGGGAAGGCCAGCGAGTAGCGTGTTGTACGTCCATGTTTAAAGCTCCCGTCGTCCTATTACATGTATAGTTGAGTTCGCGATTTGTAAGTTTTTATACATACTTTCATTGAATAAACCTTTAATTAAACGAATATGTGATTTTATGTGTGTATTGGTGGGTGTGACTGCCTAGCTACTGGAAGATGGGGGATCTGGGTGGAGGAGGCCCAGTCCCAATCCGAGCAGCCTTGGAGATCTCAGCCCCGGGTCCCGCATGCCTGAGTCCCTCTGCCGGTTTCTTCCTGCATGAAGCTCTTCTGAGCGTGTGAAGGGTGGTCTTAAGCATGAATGTGGCTGGTTCCAGTGGTCTTTAGCTGCCAGGGCTCTTCAACTGCCCCCTGCCCCCTGGCACTGTGTAATCCCATCAATGACCAAGACCCAGAGACTATGAAACCAAGCTCCCGGAAGAGAACAACTCCGTCTCCTGCCCCCGAGCCTCGCTGTCCTCACCGGGGCTTCTTGGAGGGGGGCAGGTTGAGATTCCCTCCCCGACCCTAGTTCTCGCTCTTGGAGAACCTGGCAGGCTGCCCAGAGTATCCTGCCCGCACGGCAGAGTCTGGCAAGCTCCCCGTGGTGTATTCGATATGCCAAAACCCAGTAACAATGATGGGTCTCATTCCCCTGACCCGGAAAGAGCCTCCAATGTGTCACTTGCTAAAATCGCAGGGTTAGGACAAATGGAGACGTTACTGGTGCCTGCTCGAGGAAATCGATGAACAACGGGATGACAGTGATACAGTGATGTGTGAATTATTTCATCTGTCCCTTCCCCCCCACAAAGGGTGTAGGGAACCGAGCAGTAGCACCGTGGGGAGGAGGGTGCTTGCTTCAAGAGAGGCTGACCTGGTTCGGTCCCCGGCACTACACACGGTCCCCCGAGTCCCACTGGGAGTGGTTCATGAATGCCCTGAGCATCACTAGTATGCCATGCCCCCCAAAATAAATCCTGGGGGGCTAGAGTGATAGCACAGTGGGTAGGGCGTTTGCCTTGCACACAGCTGACCCCGGTTCAATTCTCAGCATCCCATATGGCACCCTGAGCACCGCCAGGGGTAATTCCTGAGTGCATGAGCCAGGAGTAACCCCTGTGCATCGCCAGCTGTGACCCAAAATGCAAAAAAATAAATTAATTAATTAAATTAAATAAATCCTGGGGACCAGAGAGACAGTACCGTGGATAGGGCAGGAGATTGCCTTCCACGCAGTTAGCCCAGGTTCAATTCCCGGCACAGTGTATGGTGATGTAGCCCCCCCGCCCCCCCAACGAGAAAACTAAAGCTGCTTGGGTCAAGATAACTCAAGTTTGCACCAATACTGTCACTGTCACTGTCCTCCCGTTGTTCATCGATTTGCTCAAGCGGACCCAGTAACATTGTGAGACTTGTTACTGTATTTGGCATATCAAATACACCACGGGGAGCTTGCCAGGCTTTGCCGTGCGGGCGAGATACTCTCGGTAGCTTGCCGGGCTCTCCGAGAGGGGCGGAGGAATCAAACTCTGGTCGGCCGTGTTCGCCGCGTGCAAGGCAAACACCCTACCCACTGTGCTATTGCTCCAGTCCACACAGGCTATTCAAAATCGGGCAGTTTTCATCCACTTTTCCTGGGGTCACTTGGGTTTTGTATGGGGAGGAACTCCCCTCTTGGCGCTGAGGAATTAATTGCTCCTAGCCGTGCTCCAGGGTACATGTGATGCCAGGGATGGGCCCCGGGTCTCCGACATGCAATGCCCGCCCTCTAACCCCCTCCCCCTCCCATCTTGTATATTAAACCTCAATTATTCGAGTCTTGGGACTTTCCCAGAGTAGCTGTGGAATTGGCTTGTGCCTGGACCCTCTTCCAGCCTGGAAGACCAGAAAGTTCTGGGATAGGAAGACTGCAGTGGGATGAAGGCTCTTGCCGATGGTGGAGGGAAAGGGAAGACTTTGTTATACTCCCCTAGTCATTGTGAGGGGTGCAGGGGTTCACTAACCCTACACCCCCTACTAGCTCCTTCCATCTCCCACAGAGCAAATCTTTTTTTTTTTTTGTAAGCAAGATGTTTAGTTTGGGGGGATTTTTTTTTTTCTTTTTAGGTCACACTTGGCGATGCTCAGGGATTTCTCCTAGCTCTGAGGAATCACACCTGGCAGTGCTCAGGGGAACCATATGGGATGCTGGGGGTCAAACCCTGATTAGCTGCATGCAAGTCAAACGCCCTCCCCGCTGGACTATCGCTCCAGCCCTGTACCACAACTTCTTGACCCATTCATCTGTAGTTGGACACTTGGGTTGTTTTCATAGCTCAGCTATTGTACTGAGTCAATGGCTTAAGTGGTAAATCTTTTTTATTTTGTTTTGTTTGGGGCTCACACTGGGTGATGCTCGGGTTCCTCCTGGCTCAATACTCAGGCATCACTCTTTTTTTTTTTCAATTTTATTTATTTTTTTAATTTTTATTAGTGAAACACCATGAGGTACAGTTGTAGACTTACAAATTTTGTACTTGGGTTTCAATTATACAATGATCAAATACCCATCCCTCCACCAGTGCCCATTTCCCACCACCACGGGTCCCAGTATCCCTCCCACCCTCCATCCCCACCCCATCCCACCCTGCCTCTGTGGCAGGGCATTCCCCTTTGTTCTCTTTCTCCTTTGGGGCGTTGTGGTTTGCAAAAGAGGCATTGAGTGGCAATCGTCTTGGCAGGCTCGGGGGACCATATGGGATGCCAGGGGTCGAACCTGGGTCGGCCGCGTGCAAGGTAAATGCTCTACCCACTGTAATATCTCTCCAGCTGTAAGTGGCGAATCGTAACAAAACCATCAGCCTTCTGATCCTAGAGCTCAGGCCAGTGGAGCAAACCCTCAGCGTTCAGCAGTGCTGAATCTGTTCTCTCCAAGAGCTTACAAGTGCAGCTTGTTCTGAGTTTTTTTTTTTTTGCTTTTTTTGGGTCACACCTGGCGATGCTCAGGAGTTACTCCTGGTTCATGCACTCAGGAATTACTCCTGGCGGTGCTCGGGGGACCATATGGGCTGCTGGGAATCGAACCTAGGTCAGCTCATGCAAGGCAAATGCCCTACCCGCTGTGCTATTGCTTCAGCCCCCTGAGTTTGTTTTTAATTTGAGGGCCACACCTCAAAGTGCTAATTAAGGGGCAATTCCCAGCTCAGTACATGTGGCCACGTGGTGCTCGAACCTCTGAATCCCTCAAGCCAAGCAAGAGTTCAGCCCATTGAATTCTCTCCCTGACCCTGTCCTGATTTTTTGTGGGGGAGGGCGGAGTTGCATCACACCCAGCGATGCTCAGGGGTTACTCCTGACTCTGCACTCAGGACCGGGCAGTGCTTGGGGGACCATATGGGATATCAGGGATCGAACCCGGTTGGCCGTGTACAAGGCAGATACCCTCCCCGTGGTAGTATCACTCCGGCCCCTG